GCCATAAAAGTCCAGGCCTACATGAGAGGCCCCATCTCTTTCTCACTAAAGCGTCCAGTAGAGCATGGTTGTCCTGGTGCTGCTCCTCTGCCTGGTGCTCGTTTCAAGCTGTGAGTGTTTCAGGGTTTTAGAAAAGAGACCCAGTCATATCATCTGTGGGATAACTGTACCGTGATGATTGTACCTGTTCCCAGGTTCCCTGTCCCAGGTGCAGCTGAAGGAGTAAGGAACTGGTCTAGTTCAGCCCTCATAGACCCTTTCCCTCACCTGAACTATCTGTAGATTCTCATTATCCAGTCATGGTGTAAGCTGGGTCTGTCAACCTCCAGCAAAATGTCTGAAGTGGATGTGAAGAATCTGGAGTGGTGGAAGCACAAATTAGAATTCTGATCTCAAATCCCAAGTCAACATGAGCAGGGACACCTCCTGTTACACAAATTCTAATTGTACTTAATGATAAAGAGCCTGAGTCAGCTACCAGGGGCAAAAACTGAAGGATCAGAAAAGCAGAGAATTCAGCCACTAGAGAGTTCTTACTTCTACCAATGCTCAGACAAAATGGGGAAGATCCTGTCTCTACAAATCGTCTGACTGAATGCTGTCTCTCCAAAACTTCAGACTGCCTCTCAGATTGAAACCTCAGACTGGATCTGAGCTCCTGTCTCCTCCTGTCTTATATTTCTCTCTCTGCCCAGCCATGCCAAGCCAGTCTCTGCTACCCCACTGCTTGGATAAAAGACATATGATTCCAGGTGCTGGGATCACCTTTGTGTGAGCTCCATTTCTGTATTACACAGAGTCAATCCCTTGTATCCCAGGATAGCACTGCACTCACAGAGATCAGTCCACTTCTTTCTCCCTAGTACTGGGATTAAAGGTTTGTGCCACTATTGCCTGATGTCAATGGCTATCTAGGGACTTAGATCTCCACCCTTATCTTTAGGAAGCTTTATTTGTTAGATCCCAAATAAAATATTACTTCACTTCCATGAGCTATGTTTTCATAAAACTGAACAATCTGAGAACTTCTAACACAGCCATGTATTACGGTGCCAGAGACACAGTGAGAGAACTCCAGTGTGAGCTTGGACAGAAACCTCTCTACTCAGACCAGCAGGGGATGCTGAGGACCAGCAGGAACTCACAACACTAGTGGTGGTCACTTCAGAATCTAGGAAGTTCTGGAATATGCTTCACCTATACCTGTTTTTCTTTTACACAAGGAACACTTCTAGAGTACCCTTGACTTCTCATAGCCTATTAATCTTGCTTTTTAATTAGACACTAAAACATCTGGCTTCCCCCGCAATATTCTAATATGTATAATTGCTTCTTGTTAGACAAAACAGCATGTTAATTTTATATATTCCATATATACATATATTTATATATACTTCATCAGGTGTATGAAATTGGGAAAATTGCTGATTTGTAAGACAGTTTAAGAATTTCGAATAATCTTTAATTCATCCTCTTTATTTCTAAACTTGTGATAGAGAACCACAACTGCCCCGAATTGATGTTAATTTCCAAACTTACTTTAGAAAATGAAGCATCACAGTTTTTGTTTTTTTACTTTTAAACTAAAAGTGTACAGCTATTATAATTGTTGCAAGATTCTATTTTTGAACATTAGCGTTTTGGTAAAAACTAGCTTGTGCTTCGAAATCCAAACTAAAGATTCCTCTATAGGCACATTGTGCAACTCAGATTTCAAATTTTTCAGTCACAAATATCCACATCCCAACAAACATCAGCTCCAGTTCCTGGTCCTTCTCTCTTCAGTCCTTCCCATTGACAACTGAGTTCTATGATTTTCACAGTTTGTGCTTTTGTTGCTCCTAGAATTACTCCTCTGCTCTCTCTGTTGTTGGTGACATGAAGAGCAGGTGTCTCATGTGTGAGCTAGTGAAGTGTCTTCAGAGAAGCCATGTTGGCTGTGGGCTCCATGTTAATGGATCATACAATTGGAATGGATGAAGAAAGTGTGGAATATCTACACATTAGAGTACTATGCTGCGGTAAAAAAAACAATGACTTCTCGAATTTTGCATGCAAATGGATGGAAATAAAAAACACTATCCTGAGTGAGGTATCCCAGAGCCAAAAAGATGAACATGGGATGTACTCACTCATAATTGGTTTCTAGCCATAAACAAGGGTCACGGAGTCTACACTTGGTGATCCCAAAGAAGCTAAGTAAGAAGGTGAACCAAAGGAAAAGCATATAGTTGTCCTCTTGGCTATGGGATGTAGACAAAATTGCCGGGGAGAAAATTGAGATCTTGGGGGTGGGGTGAGATGGGGGTAAGGGGAGATGGGGAGAGAGGGGGGAGAGGGGGAGAATGGGGGGGGGAGCTTGGGAAAGGGGGAGGATTGGGATGAAGGAAGGTTGGATGGGGGAGCACGGAAGCACGGTTCTTAGTTAAGGGAGCCACCTTAGGGTTGGCAAGAGACCTGAACCTAGAGTGGCTCCCAGATACCCAAGCCGTGGTCCCCAGTTAGTTCCTTGGGCAGCTGAGGATGGGGAACCTGAAATGACCCTATCCTAGAGCAATAATGACGAATATCTTGAATATCATCATAGAACCTTCATCTGGTGATGGATGGAGACAGAGACAGAGACCCACACTGGAGCACTGGACTGAGCTCCCAAGGTCCCGATGAGGAGCAGAAGGAGGGAGAACATGAGCAAAGAAGTCGGGACCACGAGGGGAGCACCCACCCACTGAGACAGTGGAGCTGATCTATTGGGAGCTCACCAAGGCCAGCTGGACTGTGACTGAAAAAGCATGGGATAAAACTGGACTCTCTGAGCATGGCCAACAATGAGGGCTGATGAGAACCCAAGGACAATGGCACGGGGTTTTGAAACTACGTAATGTGCTGGCTTTGTGGGAGCCTAGCCAGTTTGGATGTTCACCTTCCTAGAAATGCACGGAGGGGGGAAGACCTAGGACTTACCACAGGGCAGGGAAATCTGACTGCTCTTTGGGCTGGAGAGGGAGGGGGAGAGGAGTGGGGGGAGGGGGAGAAGGGTGGGAGGAGGGGGAGGGAAATGGGAGGCTGGGAGGAGGACGAAATTTGTTTTCTTTTTTTTTCTCTTTTCTCAATAAAAAAAAGTTAAAAAAAAAAAAAGGAAATGTGACTCTTTTCACCCGAGGCTGAGACTTCTCCTGAAATTCAGGCAGTGACAGCAACAGTGTGTAATGAAGCTTAGGAGACCACATTGACTACATTATTAGAATCTTGACAGAAGAACACATAACTGTGAATTGAATAATTCTACACTATTTTGAACTCAAAGGTGTCATTGTTATTTTTTCCATGGTTAGTGTGAGGATCAGCTTACATGGCTGCTCTTGAGATGGATGAATAGGGTAATATTTTAATGAGTTTGTTGGACCTAAAATATATCATAACCAATACCTCTATTCTAATCCCAGGTCTTTACTTTTGACCAACAATATCCACAACTTTTTATGGAGAGCCTACCAATATGAATTAAAAGACTTCACATATTCACATTAAGGTAAATATTTTTTTTTGGTTTTTTGAGACAGGGTTTCTCTGTAGCTTTGGAGCCTGTCCTGGAACTCCCTTGGTAGACCAGGCTGGCCTCGAACTCACAGAGATCCGCCTGTCTCTGCCTCCCAAGTGCTGGGATTACAGGAGTGCGCCACCACCGCCCGGCTGGTAAATAATTTTTTAAACAAATAGGCACAGGGAAAATTTTTCTTCTGGAGTAGAAAAGAAGTAACAATTGTGTAAACAGATGACCTTGAATTTCTCTTCTCTTCACTATGTCCTCTGATTCGTTACAGACAATTTTAAAGAAAAGGGAATACCTAGATGATACATATGTATAATCTAACACCAGAATAACTGTTCCTGCAGCATGAGCCATGAAAGGGTGGGGTAAGAATGATATGTTTTTCCCCTAATTCTGATTGATGATGGGATATTGTCATCTTAGAGCAAAGTAACAGACAACCAAATGTGAAAAGATATTTTACAAATCATGTATAGAATTATCTGCAAATAGATTTTTCATACATAATTGAATGACCCCACCAGTTCTTAGCTGGATGGGAACATGGTCCCAGATAAAGTTGCCTACCATGTCATTTGATATTTACCAATATTCCTTAATCATTTGCTTTCTGAATTTTTGTTTTAAGCCTCAGCTATACAGTTTTTACTAATCTTCTTTATTCCTTCTGTTTATGATCACTAAGTGCGATGTTTTCTACCCAGCTCCTCCCACAACTTCCAAACATGGGTCCCTAACAACCTTATACTTACTTAAGCACAGTTAGTGATGCTCATATCTACATGTATGTGAACCCAAGCACTGCAACATAAGAAACATACCAGTGACCATACCCTCAACAAAGAGTGACTATATCCCTTGTCTAGAAAAATATGTCTTTCTGATCTTCTCTTAGATAAACCCATGAAATCACATGTATTAAATGTTAGTGAGCTACTTCCTCGCAAGCAATTTATAGGTGAGTTATGAGCATAAAAAGGATTCCACTGCCACCAAGAGAATAAATTTTAAGTTGCTTCCTTAGTCAGAGTTTCTGATAACAAAAAAGGCCCAATTCTACTGCTGTAATTTCTAGAAATAGACAAATACATTTAGGACATGGTACCGTGTTTTGCCTGCACTGTGTGACAGTGGACACACTTAGTATAAACACTGCCAAGTTTTGTTTGCCAGGTCTGAGCACAGTCACTCACACTATTTCAAATTTGTTTGGTATTGGAAATCCAGATGACAAAAAGAAAATGTTCATGAATCTCCATCTCCAGTACTGCTAAGGAGCACAGGACAAATGTTGGTCACCTGAGGAAAGAGTGGAAATCATCCCCTGTGCTTCCTTTTGTTTTGCTTTTAGGAACCTCCCCAAATGCAAAGCAGCCCTCAGGCTCAAGATGAAAGCTCAGGCATAGCTGAGAAGCCCCATCTACTTCTCACCAGTCTCTAGCAGAGCATGGCTGTCCAGGTGCTGCTCCTCTGCCTGGTCACCTTTCCAAGTAAGTATTTCAGGGTTTCAGGAGAGGGTCCCTGGCATGTCATCTGTGGGATGTATAACAGATGTTGATGTTGCTTGTCTCCAGGTGTCCTGTCCCAGGTGCTGCTGAAGGTGTCAGGACCTGGCCTGGTGCAGCCCTCACAGACTCTGTCTCTCACCTGCACTGTCTCTGGGTTCTCATTAACTGACTATGATATTAGCTGGGTTCGCCAGTCTCCAGGAAAGGGTCTGGAGTGGATGGGAGGTATATGGTACAATGGAAGCACAGAGTATAATTCAGCTTACCAGCCCCGAATCACCATCAGCAGGGACACCTCCAAGAACCAAGTTTTCTTAAAATTGAACAGTCTGCAAAGTGAGGACACAGCCACGTACTACTGTACCAAAGACACAATGAGGGAACTCCCAGGTGAGCCTGCACAAAAACCTCACTGCAAGGACACTCAGAACCAGAAGAGGGTGCTGAAGATCAGCAGGGACTCCTGAGGACCAGCAGTAAGGGTCACTTTAGATGCTAGAAAGTTCTGAACTATGGTTAATAAACATGAGTTATAAATTCAGAACCTGTGACTTATTATTCTTCTAGCCAAGAATACCTTCTGAAGGCCATTCTCCACTGCCATATTCTATCCAACTTTCCATGTATGCAGATTAGAATAATTTTTTGACACAAATCCTTTAAGCTGTCCAATTTATTCTGATTATCAGACAGAATGGAACCTAATTTTATATAGTCTCTCTCTCTCTCTCTCTCTCTCTCTCTCTCTCTCTCTCTCTGCATGTATATGTACCACTTGACAATTCAAAAGGAGTCTGAAATTATGACAATTGTTGACTCAAATTTCAGTGAGAAAGTTTGGGAAATTTAGTAATTTTAATTTATTATATGTTTTTGAACATGTGAGAGAGAAAGTGCACCTTCCCTGTAAAATTCGCTTTCCAAACATAGATTTAAAACTGAAATGTCCATTATTTCCTTCTAGACCAACAGAACTTAAAAGAGTACACTTGGTAATCATTTGTGAAAAATTCTATTTTTAAACATTTGCAGCTTGTTAAAAATTAGTTTATATGAAATTCCAAAGTAATGATTATTCTGTAGGCATATTTGTGATCCCTCAACCCACAAAATTCTCAGGCACCAGTGTGTTGTGCAGTTCAGCTGACATCAGCTGCGTTTCTATTCCCTTCTCACATCAGTACTTTCCATAGACGACTCAGTTCTGTGATTTTCTGTTTATGATTTGCTGATGCTTTTGCTAACAAAGGCTACCAGAGTTAAATCTACTCTCTGTTGCTGATGATGAAGAGCCTGCTGTCTTATGTGTGAGCTAGAGAAGTGTCATTCAGGAAACAGGGTTGAATTTACTTTCCATGATAATGATCATCAGCTTGAGGCAGCTTTAAAAAAGAAAAGAGAATGTCTTCAACTGAGACTGAGGTTCCTCTGGAAACTCTTGCAGTGACACCAATAGTCAAAGATTAAACTTGGAAATCAAACAGAAAAGATTGGTAAAATTCTGAGATAAGGACACATACCAGTGACTTGAATAATCCACACAAAGATAAATAAGGGGTCATTGTCATGTTACCTTGGGTCAATCTGAGTAACAGCCTAAATAGCTAATTGAAAACATGATTAGGAGGATAAATAAATGAATTAATCTTTTTTTTTATTTTTCCATTCAAAAATTTACAGTTCTTCCCCTCATCCCATTCCCCTCCAGCTCCCCCACTCACACTCCTCCCTCTACCTCCCTGCTTGAGAGAGGGCACAGAACCCTGCCCTGTGGGAAGTCCAAGGCCCTTCCCCACACATCCAGGTCTAGGAAGCCAAGCACCCAAATAGACTAGGGTCCCAAAAAGCCAGTACATGCAGTAAAAACAAGTCCCAGAGCATTTATCATCCTCTCCTCTGCTGCCCAAGGATCTAGAGAAATCCTCTGGACACCTGGGAACTCCTCTAAAGTCCAGTCTCTTGCCAACCATAAAATGGCCCTGTTACTTAAAATATCTTCTTGCCTGCTCCCAAATCGACCCTTCCTCTATCTCAACCATCCCATTCCCCCAAGCTCTCCCCAATCCTCTCCTTCTTCCTTCTGTCTCCCCATCTCCCCTTCCCCGAAACCTTTCCACCCCTGTGCTCCCATAACCCAATTAAAAAATGGGGTACTGAACTGAATAGAGAATTCTCAACAGAAGAAGTTCAAATGGCCAAAAGACACTTAAGGTCATGCTCAACTTCCTTAGTGAACAGGGAAATGCAAATAAAATCAAATTTGGGATTCCATCTTACACCTGTCAGAATGGCTAAAATCAAAAACACTAATGATAGCCAATGCTGGAGAGGATGTGGAGTGAGGAGAACACTCATCCATTGTTGGTGGGAATGCAAACTTGTGCAACCACTTTGGAAATCAGTGTGGCAGTTTCTCAGGAAACTGGGTGTCAATGTACCTCAGGATCTAGCAACTCCACTCTTGGGAATATACCCAAGAGATGCGCAATCAGACCACAAAAGCATTTGTTAAATTGTGTTCATCACAGCATTATTTGTAATAGCCATAACCTGGAAACAGCCTAGGTGCCCCTCAATAGAAGAATAGATAAAAGTGTGGAATATATACACTTTAAAAAGGTGTGGCACATATACACTTTAGAGTTCTACTCAGGGGTAAAAAACAATGACATCTTGAATTTTGCATGCAAATGGATTGAAATAGAAAACACTTTACTGAGTGAGATAACCCAGAGCCAAAAAGAGGAATATTATATGTCCTCACTCATTAGTGGACTCTAGCCATAAACAAAGGACATTGAGCCTATAGTTCATGATCCTAGAGAAGCTAAATAAAAAGGTGAACCCAGAGAAAAACATATATGTATCCTCCTGGATATTGGAAGTAGAGAAGATCACCAAAAGTCCAGTTTGATCACATGCTAATTTAGTCCCATTCCAGGTGTATTTGGTGAGCTCCCATTAGAACAGGCACTCTGACTCAGTGGGTGGACCCACCCTTCACTGTCCTGATTTCCTTCCTCATCTTCTCCCTCCTTCTGCTCTTCAACTGGACTTTGGGAGCTCATTCCTTGCTCTGATGAGGGTCTCTGTCTCTAACTCCATCCACTGCCTGACAAAGATTCTTTGGTGATATTCAAGATAATCATCAGTGTGATAGTGGGGTAAGGACAGTTCAGGTACCCTCTCCTCTTCTGCCCAAGGGCCTAGCTGGGGACAACCCCGTGGACACCTGGGATCCCCTCTAGAGCCAAGTCTCTTGCCAACTCTAAAATGGCTCCCTTAATGTAGATATCTTCTTCCCTGCTCATATATCCATCCTCCCTCCATCTCCACCCTCCCAGTCCCCCAAGTTCTCCCAGTCTTTCCCTTCTCCCTTCCACTTCCCTTTCTCCTCTTCTCCCAACCCCACCCACACCCCTATTCCCACCCCCATGCTCCCAACTTTGGCCCAGCAATCTTGTTTGTTTCCAATTTCCAGGAGGATCAATATATGTTTTTCTTTGGGTTCACCTGGTTATTTAGCTTCTCAAGAAATGTCCTTTGTTTATGACTAGAGTCCACTAATGAGTGAGTATATACCATATTCATCTTTTTGGGACTAGCTTATCTCACTCAGGATAATGTTTTTATTTCCATCCACTTGCATGTAAAATTCAAGATGTCATTGTTTTTTACCACTGAGTCATACTCTAATGTGTATATATTCCACACTTTCTTTATCTATTCTTCTGTTGATGGACACCTAGGTTGTTTCCAGGTTCTGGCTATTACAAATAATGCTGCTATGAACATAGTTGAACAAATAATTTGTAGTATGATTGGGCATCTCTTGGGTATATTCCCAAGAGTGGTATTGCTGAATCCCGAAGTAGGCTGATTCCCAATTTCCTGAGAAACTGCCACAATGATTTCCAAAGTGGTTGAACAAGTTTGCATTCCCACCAACAATGAATAAGTGTTCCCTTTACTCAACAAACTTTCCCATACACTATCATTGGTGTTTTTGATTTTAGCCATTCTGACAGGTGTAAGATGGTATCTCAAAGTTGTTTTGATTTGCATTTCCTTAATCACTAAGGTGATTGAACTTGACCTTAACTGTTTTTTGACCATTTGAACTTCTGTTGAGAATTCTCTGTTCAGTTCATCACCATGCACAAAACTCAAGTCCAAATGGATTAAAGACCTCAATATAAATCTGACCACAATAAACCTGATAGAAGAGAAAGTGGGAAGTAGACTGCAACATATGGGCACAGGAGACCACTTCCTACATATAAGTCCAGTAGCACAGACAATAAGAGCAACATTGAATAAATGGGACCTCCTGAAACAAGGACACTGTCATTAAGACAAAAAGGCAAACTACTGATTGCGAGAAGATCTTCACCTACCCCGCATCAGACAAAGGTCTGATCTCCAAAATATATAAAGAACTCAAGAAGCTTGAAATTAAAATTCTAATTAACCCAATTAAAAATGGGGTACTGAACTGAGCAGGGTAAATCTTTTAAGCAAGGTTGTTGCCTAGCATCGAACAGACATCAAGAGGCTATGATTTCCAATAATTTCAGTTTTGACCAAGAATCTGCAAAATGTGCTACTGAAATTTTAACATCATCTACAAAAGGAACTTCCGTAATCCATTTTGAAGTAAAAAAAATGATGGTTCAAATAATTACAGACAACAATCCACCTCTAAAGTAAGACAGAAGTACCAATAACACACGGAAATACCATTGGAGTCTCTCCTTTTGCGCATATCCTCTCATAATTTCTAAAGAAATAAATAAAGGGAGACACAGACAACAGGAGTGCAGAAACCTGGCACACACTACCTCACTCAAAAACACAAGATGTAGGGTGCTAATAGCATGTGCCTTTGATAGAGTGTGACAAAAAGGCATGTGACTAGGGATTTCAATGATGTTCTTTCCCCAATCCTGTCAGATGAACAAATATCACCTTAGTGAAAAGTGTCTACTAAATAAATGTACATAATTATTTTACAAACATGTATAGGTTTTCCTGGAAATGACTATATATACATATGTGATGAACCCCACAAGTTCTCACTTTGTCAGAATAGTGGTCCCAGATGAAGTGCCTGATACTGATTCAGACACAGAAAAAGGAAATGAAATTAACAGTGCCTGGTAGCTTCAAATCTGTTTTGAACCTTTCCAACTTAAAACTAGACTTTGAGCATTCTTACTATTCAGTTGCTTTAATGTTTTATAAATTTATTCACTATTTAAATATCAGGCAAACTATATAATTTTGAGACTTCTAAAGTATTCAAATTAATTAAAAAAAAAACAAAAACATCTAGTAAATCATAAGTTCACATACTTATAAAACTAAAGGTGTGATAAACAATTCTGCAATATGCATATTTTTACATTTTAGAAAGTTTAAATATGGTAATTAAATGGTTCCATAATGTAATAGTGTAAAATAAAAA